ATTCCTCTTGACCAACTGTCGATTGGCTTTACTGGAACATTCATGGCGACGCTGTTTCCGAGGCAATCTCTTTCGATTCCGGTGAGTTTTCTTGACTCGTGACGATGATCCCTTGCTCTGATGATGTTCGTCAAGTGACGGACGAAAGCTTAGCACCTTTTTCACCGGAATCGAATGAGACTGCCTCGGAAACAGCGTCAGCATGAAACTTCCAGTAAAGCCAAGCGACAGCTGGTCAAGAGGTCTAGTGAAATCGAGTTTCAAATCTCTTCATCAAAACACTTTTACTCGAAATGGAAGTCAGCTCAACAATTATGAAACAAGAGATTTCTCGAAACCCTACTTTTATTCGCATAAGACGTGATATCCTTTCGGCTGTCAGCCATCACTTGGCACAATGAGTCAAGAAGCCCATTCGGCTCGTCCCCCTTTCATGTTAAAATCACTCCGAGTAACGATATTTGAGAGACATCGAATCACATAATTAGGCCATTTCCGCGTCCATCCGTGTGTGTGTGTGTGTGTGTGTGTGTGTGTGTGCATGAATATGAAATAATCTGTGTAATTACAAATAACTATGATAGTACGCAACAGCTGACCGAGACGGTAATATTTTAGTAATTTTTTGTACTCAATAAAAACCAACAGGCTGGTTAGTTTATTTGGGGAGCTTCAGTTTGTGTAGACTTCGAAGCAACCAGTAATTGGGGAAAAAGACCTAATTTACTTTATGAACTGATTGTGAATTTTTTTTCCCAAAATTCAGGGAGACCATTGAATTTCAATTAACTTTGTGTCCAACGACTTGTTCCCTTTCGGAATGAACCGAACACTTGACCTCGCCTTACAGTCTCTTCAGCAACCCAGTGGGATTTAAAATCAGGTCGTGTCTGTTGTGGCGACACAAGTTACCAGTTGACCGAACAGCCTCCGGTTTTCTACGCGGAGAAGAGGCTGGTTTCGATGAATTTCGTGATATAACATTGTTGCGGGACTTTCCTTTTGTATGAAAGTGCATTTGTCGAAAATAGAAATAGAGCTCAAGCCATAACTTGAGTCAGCTCGGGCGATGGAACTAGAAATTAGTGGAAGCTTAAACAATTAAATAAGCAAGTTGCATATTTCCATAGTTTATCACTACACTTGACTACTTGAAGTTGCAGTGAATGCGCTTCAAACAATGCATTTATTTGAGTAACAGGCATACTGACTTAATTGTGGAGGCTTGCACTATCCAATCTTACATTACTTAAATGACTCAGAGTGACTTGGGTTCTTATGTAAGATCTCTTGATGGCAGGGAGGCATATTCATGTCGAATACAAGTAATATAGTCTATTTCACTGAAAAATGCAAGTTCGCATCATCAACAATCGCACTATAGAATGTCATTCAGCATTGTTTTATGATGGCCAGTTGTTGCATTACGCCGCAAACCAGTTTCGAGTACCTTTTTTGTCGCTGATGGGTTGCTGCTAATGATGATGCAGATAATTAGGATAATTAGTGTGATGGAGAGAGTCCAGTCCCGAAAAGTAGACCTGGATTCACGAGGCCTATTTAAATTATTCTGCAAAAAACTCTACCATCCCTTGTAACGCCACCTTAAGCGACCGATGGTGATTTGCTATAACTCAAAAAATGATATAATTATATATACATATAATACATAATAATATACAAAATACAGTGTCCATAAAAGTTTTAAATAAATAAATATATATATATATACAGTTTTTTTTAAAAGCCCTTTTTTTGTTCGAAATGATCAAAATTAAAACAAGTTGATATTATATATAAGATAGCTGTATTTTTTAAAATTATTTTATATTTCTGTTTTTTAAATAGGTTTAATTTGGACTATTTCATCATTTTTAAAAGTTTTTTGTTAAAAAAACACACCACTAGTCATTTAATATTTTTGATTCACCTTTGGCTTTATAAAGAGCAATAGCTCGTTTTTGAAAACTTTCAACCAATTTCATTGTCATATCCATGGTTATTTCTGCAAAAGACGTCTTAATTGCATGTTCAAGTCCGTTGATATTTTTAGGCTTTAATATGCATATTTTAGACTTTATAATTCCCCATAAGTTGGCAATA